AAAAAAAAAACGGTAACCTGGTTGCCGAGTTCACGAAGTGAATTGGCTTGTTTTACAACGTCGTTGCCAAGCGACGAAAACCCAACCCCGATGGCAAACACCGGGGGGGGCGGCTTGTTTTACAACGTCGTTGCCAAGCGACGAAAACCCAACCCCGATGGCAAACACCGGGGGGGGCGGCTTGTTTTACAACGTCGTTGCCAAGCGACGAAAACCCAACCCCGACGGCAAAACACCGGGGGGGGTGGGAGCATCGGGGGGGGGAGAGAATGAGCGATGTCTTATACACAATGTTAAGATTCACAGCATCAACTTGTATGCTGGGCTAGGAGCGGTTAAGAGCGGGCGTGAGTCGACGAAACGAAAATCCCTTTGAAGGGCAAGCCTTTCCGGTGAGTCGACGGAGCGGATGAACGCGCAGAATGACCTCATCACCGTCAATTCAATGGCAAAGGATTCTTGCACGCATGCATACATGCATACATTTAATAGAGGCTCTACAAGCTGAACACCGCCAACAATCAGAAATTCATGCATGCATACATACAAGCAAGGGTTTACAAGCTCAACACCTCGCCAACAAGCAGAAAATGATTCATCCATGAACGCATCATACAATTAAGGGTCGACATGCTTCACAACAAACAACCCCCACCCCAAAGAAGCGGTTTCCAACCGGTCGGAAACCGTAGAGAGCACGGCGACGCCACGACCGGAACATGCGTGGTCCTCCGCGGAAAAACAACTTCCACGAAAAAGAGGCTGAAAAAGTATGCACAGCATTGCCGCTTGGTGGGGAAGAAAAAGAAGGTGGGGCTGGTCCAGAAGGGGCTGGTGGGCTGATGGGCTGATTGACTCACAGGGCCACGACATGATGCGCCACGAAGACGGTCCACATGGGAAGCATCCACCACAGGATAACGCTGAGGTCGAACAAGAAGTATCCGATGGCTTCGGATTGAATGGTCAAGCATGCCAGGAGAGAGAGAGAGAGAGAGAGAGAGAGAAAGAGAGAATACAGGCAAACAGATGACAAAGGGCGAGATGAGACGAGATTAGAAACGTCACAGGGGACACACTCACGCAAAAAAAAAGAAAAGAGGCCACACCCGTGCGAACTGAATACATGGCTCGAGAAGACACAATTTTCGTACGGCGGCGGATTATCTACTACCTACGCGCGACCCGTACCCAAGCTGACAGGCCACCGGCCGCCGCACTCACAGATGCTGAAGGTGATCTCCAGGAGGACGGTCGAGCCCAAAGGCACCAGAGTCACGGGGTCGAACGACATGGTCAGGAGGCAGATCGTCACCAGGGTACACACCAAGGCCGCGTGGATCGTGGAGTTTATTCTGACACAAGCGTCGGACGGAAACGAAAGAACGCATCGGGTGGCGTTACGTCGGGCAGGCTTGTCGGCAAAGAAGCGGGGCCCCGCTACCCTCTTGGCCGTTGTTTGTATCAAATTAAATTTCCAAGCACTTCTCGTTTTCATGGCACAATGCAGCAGGCCCCTCTAACAACCAAAGCGTAGGTGCGCTCCAGCAAAATACTCAGTCAGAACGCCAAGAACGAAGTTGCAAGCATTTTTGTCATGTGGTCTCTGCAACAATCACATATCTCCCCTGTCAGCCCTCCTGGCGGAGCCGGGTTCACACCGGAGGCCTCCTGAACAACCCGGCGTGCCTCTCCCCAGCTCACCGGAAACGCCCCTCTCATGCGGGCCCCCCCTTTCAATAATATCGCTATCGAAACACCACCCTGTTTCGAAATATTGGGACTGTTGGGATGTTCACATTTCACGCCTTCAACCCTATCGCTATCAAACACGCTACCCTGTTCGAAAATAGAAAGACTCATCGAGTACATTCATATTTCACGCTTTCAAGCCTATTCGCTATCGGACGCACCACCCTCTTCGGAAATATAGGGGCCAATAGGATGTTCACAATTAGGTTCGAAAGGCCCTTATATTTCCAAACAGATCGGTATAAGGCATGCAACGCCCTCGTGCTGCCTTCGCGAAGATGTTTTTACTAACCTCGAATAGAGAGGGGGGGCTCGCATCCCTAACCATAACCCCAAACCCCCAACTGAAACCAAGTATCCCTATCCCTAACCATAACCCCGTACTTAAACCATGAATCCCTATCCTTAACAATAACCCCCCTACTACAACCAAGTATCCCTAAACCTAACCCACCTACCAAAACCAAGTATCCCTATCCCTGACCATGACCCCCCCACTAAAACCAAGCATATCAATATATTCGAGAGGGCTATACCTAACCCCTTATACTACAACCAAGCTTAAAAACAATTTCGAGAGGGTCATCCCTGACCCCCCTACAAAACCCAAGCATATTAACGATTCGAGAGGGCTATCCCGAACCCCCTACTAAAACCAAGCTAATTAATATCTTCGCCAAGGCCATGAACTACTACTGCTGTGGTGTGCGAGCCTCACCTTGCGCTCCAGTCCGCCTTGTTCACGTCCGCGAAGGAGTTAAACCGCCAAACCCGCGCTTCAGACAACTTCCATCCGAGCCGGAAAATTAGGCCGGCGCACACGAAGGTGACGACTGCCGCGGTGATGTTGAGGGCGAGCGATTCGCCATCCACCCACGCCCCCATGGTCTTGAGCAGATATGCCTTATTAGCGTCGCCCTCGATGTGTGGGTGGGTCTCGTGCCGAGGCTACTGCCCGCCCTGCTCAGTGGAACGGCGATTGTTGTCGAGATGGACATGGCGGTGAAAGTCAGGAAGCGTTCGATGCCGCCGTTGTCATGGAATGCAGGTGACGGGTTGACGAACGTTCTTGTATGGTAGTATCCTTTGCTGCCAATATTATAGTCCACTTGGCAGCAACTAACCCACCACCAACACTTGCGTATCTAGAAGCGTGCGTTCGAGAGGGGGCCGGCTGACGGGACAATACACTTTCCCTCTTCGGTAGACGAAAAAAAACTGGAGAAAACCCTATCTACTCAAAATGTCGAGACATTTCGACCAAGGCTGGACGCATGCGGGAATCTCAATCTCGTATGACCTCGCATCCATGGGGGATCCAGGCAATAATCCTGTATTGCCTCCACAATGTCAAAACCATCTGGACCACGGCCTGGACGCAAGGTGGAACTCGCAGTCTTGCGTGACCTCCATCAAGCCACGGGGGACTCAGGCAACAACCCTAGCTGGTTTCCACGCGCTAGAGGGCGGATGCAGCTGCCTAACCGCAGCAGGTATGCGTGCAGCAATCGTTCGAGCCGTGGCTACCCCAAGAAGCGGAGAGATGGCACCCCCCTAAACCGACGATTGCTCCACGACCTACGACCAGGGGGGCGCGGAAAGAGCCCGACACGTCTACGGAAAGTCCTCAACAAAAGACATGTTTTCCAAAACCACAAATTTTGGCGTTGGCATAAGCTTGGTTGTGGAGCAATACGGCTTTGAAAATCGGTCAAGGGGGGGTGCGGTATCTCCGCCTCTTACGGGTACTCCTCGAGGTTCTTTCAACACTGCAGACGTTCCCGTATTACTAAGGTACTTCGACGCGTCCGTGCCATAGCCTGAGAATAAAGTATCAGCGATGTTTGGCTACGGTAGGGAGGTGAGGAGTGAGGAGTCTCCAAACCCGCAAGGAAACAATGAAAAAGCCTACGCGTGCATGTACAAGTAGTCCAAATGGACGCCTTCATTAGACTCGAATGCAACCGGCGTGAGTGTTGTAAAAGTCGACCACAAGCAGTACTGAGGGGGCCCGGTTTAGCGACATGCCCTGGTTGGCGATATGCCCCGTTTAGTGACCACAAAAATCAAGTCGCACCACCGCAACCCGGTAATAGCTGCTATGTTATTGGTAGTTCGGTTATGCGACCTGCTCTGAATAGCGGCCACATGTCGCCGGGTCGCTACACCCGGTCACTACTTCGCTGCATGTGCATTGTACTATTTGTCACGGAATATTTCAGGAGACTTCCACGCACGCACATGCGGCGAAGTAAATAGTGAACAAATCCCGGGCGATTAACTGATCTCATTGCCCCCTTCCTCAGATTTCACGGCGTCAAAGACGCCACCGCGAAGGTCTCGGATGCAACGGTCGGCGAAGCAACATCGCCACCGAAAATTCGGATCAGTTAATCGCCCGGGACTTGTCCACTACTTTGCTGATGTGCGTACAATAGAAGTCTCGTGCTGTGGTAGAATATTAGAATATTCTTGGAATACTTGTACGCAAATGAAGGTAGAATAATACCGCGCCAAGAAGAGTTTGTCGGGAAAGGGGAGGAGCGACACAGCGACACAGAGAGGTCATCCACCGCACACCATATAGTTACCGAATAGTTGGCCACGACTGCTGTTGCCCGCTGGACGCAAACCTGCAAACATGCTGTGCACGTGCGTAACAATACCTGCAAGCATGCTGCTGTGCACGTGCGTAACAATGCTGCTGTGCAGCAGTAGCAGTATTGTGATCCAGCATCAGTGATGATTGTCACAGGACTGCTGTCGAGGACCCTGCGCTGCAGTTGATGATTGGGAGAATTACACGGGTTGGGAAGCACAGAGAGCGGAAGCCATGCCACAGACCATGCGGAACTATCTTCCGATGTTGTCGGTAGTCCACCAGGAGGAGAAGGAACGCGCGCGCTTGATGTACGCCCTCTGCCTAAGGCCTCGATACGTACCTTTCGGGGCTAGCATGAAGAAATTGGATTCCTTTCAACACACGCCTACCAGCTCGGCGCTGGATGAACCCTTACACCAGTTTTGTTCAACCTAGGTCATGTGCCAAACTCGCACCTTCTCGGGATTCGCCGGTGTCCCTTGGCACACGCCAACAGTCTCTGGCTCTGCTGTGTGGCGTCTCCACCCGCAACCCTACGCGGCAATTGGATGTGGGGGTGACGCCAAATCACAATAGTTGTATATTCCCATGCAAGGACGGACCCCCTCCTGCCCTTTGGACTTGCTCGGCATCATGGGCTCAGCACTTTACTTGTGTCCTGCTGTGCTTTCCCTGCTCTGCATACGTACGGTCGAGCTCTGTCTTTCTATCGGCACTCTCGAGGGTATCGTTTGCTGGGAAGACGCCTGGCTGCACCGCCCGCCGTCTGAGCTCTCTGATTGAAAATCGCAGCCTGCTGCGGTGCTGTGCATCATACATCAAGTTGCGGTCCCTGTGTGTTGTCAGGAGTGAGGGGCGAGGGTGGGGTGTGGGGGCATGATGGCAGCAGCAAGGGCAACAACGAGGGCCAACCGAGCAACAGGGTTCTTGTTCACCGTTGCGCTGGCGGTATGTTCCTGTGGGGGGGGAGCGCTGGGCTTCGTGGTGCCGGCGTCGTCGTCGGCGTTGACGGCTGCAGCAGCAGGTGCGCATGATCGGCATCGAATGACACACCCTGATTTTGCCGCTCTTGTTCACACACATGTTAAGTGCCCGTTCACGTGATCGCACTGGTTACGCATAGAACCCGGGCGGGTTTTGCGGCCACTGCTTTCTTGTGCCACGCCAATCGAGCCGACAGCAGTGGCGTGAGGGGGGGACCGGAGTTGTCAGACATGACCGCACTTATCCTTGTGCGTTTTCAGCAGCAGTAGTAAATTTGTCACAAGAAGGTACTGACAGGTGGCTGATGTTGTACATATGGTCCCGAGACGTTTGCTTTGTGTCTACAGTAACTACTTGGGACTGTCTTCAACCTGCACAACTTGTTTGGGTCGGTGTTCGGACGATTGACTCAACCTTTCTCTTGCAGTTGGGGCTTGAGGGCAAAAGTGCACCGCCGGTGGGGGGGGGGGGGGGGA